TACAAGTTCGGTTCTAAAGCATTGAGCAGCGGCAAGGTTCGACGACGCCCTTGAACCAGTCTTACTAATATAGGGGCCTTATGTATCAGAGTTTGGTCGTACATTAAAGCCAACCTTCAAGCACTATAAGGTGCTAACTATGCAGACCCCTATCTTTTATCACGGCCAGGCAATCGTCGAAAGGCAACCCGAAGAGGCACAAACACAATGCCCGAGAAATCTCTCTTTCTTTAACCCTGCCCTTCGTCTGGGCACCACTCCCTGAAGCCGGTACGTACAGCTCTTCTAGGGGTCCTTTCAATGATGCTCCTGCAAAGGATCTATACGGGTTCCATAACAAGGAATTTCAGGGGGGGGTACTTGGAGGTTCACGGGTAGTTATAAGTGGGGTTATAAGTCCCCTAATCTGAGTTATACATATAGTTGCCTTACTTAGAACCCCACTTATAACTACACATGAACCTCCAAGTAGGGGTTGAAGATGAAGGCTTGCATGATTAGAACAGGATTTCGGCGTCCCATCAGGACAAAAAAGGGTAACTATTAGTACTTATTCAGACCTCTGTTTTCGCACAACAATTCCACATCGCGTGTCCCTAAACTAAATCGTGCTTTCTCTTACTGGAACATATTCATATTCCCGATTCTCCTACAAAAGTTTTGGTGTCCTGAATCCAAACCCCTCGGCCTCCCAGAATCTCGTTGACGAACCAAGTCGAGCAAAGAGACCACCAGGTTATAAAACATCCTCAAACAGGGGGTACTACTGCAAGGCCCAAAAGGGTGGTTGTCAAAATATCGGTCCCTTTTTGCGCCCTTATTACAATACGGCACCTAATATTTCGGGTACCGAAAAAGGGGCCATCATTTTGACAACTACCCAGGTATATACCCGTAATATAGCTATTATATAGCCCATTATAGGGTAGGGGTCCCTACTAGGGTCCCTCCTTTTCCCCTGTAAAACCCGTTCCTACAACGTTGTAAGCCCTCGCCCTGAACCTGGAAGCTGACGTAGCTACAAACCTGCAGGCAAACTTGTCTAGGGCCCTACTGGGGCCTTAATAAATTACCTATACAACATGCTACCATGTGGCCATGCCGACGAATGTCGGAGAATTACCTATACTATTGTGGGGGTTCCTTACTATAGTTATAGTATAGTATGTAACAATTGTTCTAGAACCCTGATTAAGCCCTTACAGTCCCTCATAGAACTCTTGTAGTACCCTTAAACGAGCCCCTTATCATACCCTTACAGAGCCCTTCTTGAAACCTTTAAGGGGACCCCCCTTCTTGAACCCCGTTGATCTGGGGCCATACCTTTGGTTAGTAGGGAATGGAAGAATGGTAGTAATTTGAAGTATAATTGTACCCCATTCCTCCATTCCCTAGTAACCAAAGGTAAGTCTCGCTCTTCCCGAGAGTCCCGGCGATCTCTTGCTCGAGATCGGCCCCGCCATGCTGTGGAGAGGCAGCCTCTGCCTGCCGGAAGCGGACTGCTTGTCGGGTTCATAGGCGTATAAAGGCTTGATGATATAAGGGTTCTATAGGCGTATAAGCTCTTTATGCTATAAGGATTCTGTCGGGTTGACTGGGACAAAGGGGTTCTTACTACCCGGTTGAGTTTACGGAGATTCTGCATGGGTTGTTTTGGGTGTTATCGGATTCTTTGCGGGTGCTACAGGGGTGCTTCAATGAAGGGGGAAAGTGTTGCAGTTGGAGGCGAGTAGGCCACGGCAGTAACGGTCTGCTGCTCAATTCCCAGCGTTGAGCGCTTGGAAGGGTTTGGATTCTGAGGGTTTCGGGTTTGCAGGGTTCAGCGTTTTGCTTTCGATTCCATTTATCGGCTATTGCACGCTCAAGCGATAAACTTAGATTCAGGTTGCAATCACTGTAAGCCCCCTCACCCCAACACCATTTTAAACCCCAAGCCCTAGCTAGCACTCCAGAAACTCCCCAAATGCCCCAAAACCTGTCGACTAGACCCCAAACCCTATAACCCGAAACCCCGGAGACCTCGCCTGTGGGCGGAAGTGCTCCTCGCCGAGCTTCCGAGCTAACCTCCGAACATGGAAACATGAGGCATAAAATAGGATTTTGGAACACCGCTTATATTCTAGGTCAGGATAGCTATACCGAGATACTAAACCCTAAACCCAAACTCTTAAATCCCTCGACCCTAAAAACCCTGAAGCCCTAAAACATAAAACCAACAAACTCCACAAGCCCCGACATCATAAAACCCACAAGGATCCCTATCCCAAAATCACCAAACCCTAAACTTAAATCCCAAGCCCTAAACCCAAAAGGCTGCCCACGTCGTGACAACGTACTCTACGACTCATAACAAGGCCCTAAAGGCTGCTTACGCTACAACTAGCTACATGGTAAATTTACACCCTAAACCATGCATACACCCATAAACCCTAAACTATTGATCCATAAACCCTAAAATCTTGGGCAAACCTGAGCCCACAACCCTAAACCCATAATCCCGAAAATCATGCACCCATAAGCCCTAACATTTTGGGCTAAATTGTTAACCCATAAACCCTAAACCCGGAACCCCCAAAACCCTAAACCCGTAAACCCTCAACCACTAAACCAGTAAACCCCCGAGCCGCCCAAACCCTGAACTCTCCTGGGCCCTGTACCCATGAAGCCCATAGAACCCCGCAGAACTTCCATAAGTACCCAAAGCCCTAAGCTAATTGGAAGTATTACGGCCCCCAAAACCTAAACCTTCCAAGACCCTAAACCCCCAAACCATCTTGGTCCCTGCACACTAATATGGGTCATACCTATTCAACATAAACCCCTAAACCCTAAAGGGCCGCCTACTCTACTACTCAGCTACATCTTGGGCCCCGCACCCTAACATAGGTCATGATCGTAATTACCTTACTTATAACTTCTAACCTCTAAACCCTAAACCCTCCTAAACCCTAAACCCAAAACCCTCTTGACCCCCGCACACTTAACTCCTAAACCCTAACTAAAGCCCTTATCCCTAAACCTCCAACCCCTAAACCCTACCCCCTCCTACACCCTAAACCCCCAAACCCCTCTCAACCCTAAACCCAAAAAACCCAAATCTAAATCCAAAGCCCTAAACAATCCTCAACCGTAAACTCTCCTTAACCCCAAACTCCCGAAGCCCCCAAACCCTCTTGGGCCCCGCACTAAACCCTAAACCATGTAAAATCCTTAAACTCCCCCCTAAATTGCTCCCCAAACCCCTAAACCCGCAACTCCCTAAACTCCCAAAACCCCTAAGATCCTAAACCCAAATCTAAACCCCAAACTCCTAGCCTCCAAACCCTAAACTCTCCTCAACCCTAAACTCCCAAAGCCCTCTAAACTCCCAAAACCCCTAAACTCCTAAACTCCTAAACTCCTCTTGGGCCCCGGGACACTTTGTGCTGGAAGTCGTTGACCGGGCCACGGTCCACGGCTGAAAAGTGCCGCTCCAACCTTTGGCTCCGCGGGCTTCAGCCCGGAAACCCGTGAGAAGTGGAGTAGGCTTAGGGTTTCAGGGTTTAGGGTTTAGGGGTTTAGGGTTTTAGGGTTTAGGGGTTTAGGGTTTCAGGGTTTAGGGGTTTAGGATTTAGGGTTTAGGGGTTTGGGGGTTTAGGGTTTCAGGGTTTAAGGTCTATGACCGGGCCGCAAGAATGTTGAAAGAGGTTCAAGATCTTGGGACTTATTGATCTATTATGTTTCAAGCTGAGGGTCTCAGGGTTTTGGGTGCTTTTTCTTTCAATTGTTCAAGTTGAAGGTTTTGGGGTTTTGGGCTTCAGGGTTGAGGATGAGAGTAGGGCTTCGCACTGTTTTCCAAGGGGTTCCTGAAGTCTGTAGGATGCTGTCGCATTTCACTAGTTCATGGTGTTGTGACAAGGGTGCTGTGCATTTTGATAGGGTTTTGCAGGGGGTCCGAAAATTTCACCTTCAGGGCAGGGTTTGAGGTCTGGGGCGAAGGCAGGCCCTTGTTGTGGAAGTCCCCCGTCGTTGCAGTGCTTGCATGCCGCGGGATGTACATGTCATAAATAAACAACCAAGATTGCGGGGGGAGAGCTGGGATTCAAGGCTTCCTCTGCAAAGATATCACTTAAAGAGTCCGAGAACGCCACAAGTCAGAACCCTGATCCTTCGTAGGTGCCAGAAAAACCATACTAGGCTTTTTAATAATTAGACAGGTTTTTTTTGTTTGGGGATATATCGCACTATAGTTAGAATAAGGAACCCCAAGAAAAAATGTAATACTTGAAGCTGCTACATTACAGAGCCTCTTGAAGCCTCATCTTGCTTTTTGTGAGTTGGAGTTCGAGTCGGCTCTCGGAGGATCATGGAGTTCGGAAGTGCTGGGGTTTTAGGGTTTTAGGCTTCTGGGGTTAGGGGTTTCGGGTTCATGGGTTAAGGGTTTATGGGTGTAGGGTTTCGGATCTAGGTGCTCTATTGGGGTTATAAATCTGTAAAATAGGCACAATAGGCACGGCTACTGTGTGTCATAAAGGTCCTATGATTCTCTCAGTACAGTTGAGGCCACAAGGAGTCTGGGGCTTCAAGAGTGGGGGGGGTTCTTATGTTGCACGCCCTTGGAACCCAAATAAGAGCAATGTCTTTAAACCAACCCCGGAGTGGTTTTCTACGTAGTAACAGGCTGGCGAGTCTTCAGAGCACTAAAGGTGAAGGGTTGCAGGTAACTGCTGTAAGATCCCCAAGTTTGGTACACGATGACCTATGGTATCGGATTTCAATCGAACAAAAGCCTAAAGGTCCAGGGTTTAGGCGTGACGCGGTGCACATAAGGGAGACCCGTGATTATTGAGAAGTCCCCCTTCCGTCACGCCCTAGACATAATAATACCAACTATAGTCCCTACTTCGGGCAAGCGGTTCCATCTCTCCGGGGTCTAAACTAAGGTGGTTCATGCCCTCGTTTCGGCGATGTGCCTTTCCCTGTCCCTAACGTCTTGCTCCAAGCCTGCAGCGATTCAAAGCTCAGGGCGTCTTGTACTCCCAGGTTTGTAAGGCTGAATCGACTACTTTAGTTAAGGCCGTGAGTTGAACACCGGCGGCTTTGAAATCTTCCAAGGCATCCTTTGCAGCCTGCACCCGAGCCGGTGGCTGTGAAGGCAGAACATCGCTTTGGATCGACTCCACAGTTGAAGAACCATGAGGTATCCTTCCAAGGACAACAGTGACATAGGTCTCGGCAAACACTTTGTTTGGTTTGATGCGGAGTTCCTGCATTTGCGCATATGCCGCCTGAATTTCGCTGAGCGGTGCATCGGAGAAGCATGCAAGTAGTGATGTAAACGTCACGACATTGGGGTGTAGGTTCAAGTCGAAAGCCCGTTGCAACAGGTCCTTTGCCGATTCATGTCGTTGCCCCTTGGCACTCCGACATGCACGGAGGGCAGATGTAATATGAACGATGTCTATTGCGGTGTCACAGTTGTGCAGTAGCTCCAAGACTTCCAGAGCTGAGTCAAAATCTCCCTCCACAGCTGCAGCATCAATACGCGCCGAAGCTAAGGGAGCATTGATCTCACAAGCCGCCATGGCTTCTTCCCAAATTTCTTGAACTCGTACACTTTCGCCAAGGCTTGCATAAATCTTCAAAGCTGCTGCGAAGACTGGACCGTTCTTGTCCAGGTTTTCCTTGCACAATCTTTCGAAAACACGGCGGCCTTCTTCGTATTCACGACACTTCAACGATATGTGCATCACTGCCGCCAGAATAGGAATGTCGCTTCCACTGTAAGTAGAAAATAGCTTTTGCACCTGTCGCCACTTGCGTCTTTTTCCTGCTGCTGTGATCTTACTCAACAAGACCCGGCTGTCTTTCGTGAGGGTAATGTTGCGCACGGCCAGGGTTTGCGTACCCTGGCCTCCACGTTCTCTGATCAGACTGAGTGGCTGCTGCTTGCCAGCACTGAAGCACCATTTACAGCAAATCCAAGAGGTGCTGTAAACGATGTAGAGAAAAGAGAGCTGCAGCAGTCGTGCCATCAATCGATGCGTGGCATCAGCCCCCACGCAGACAAAAGATATCTCCTGTACCGTCAACACAGAAAACGTCCTACGTCAAGAATATCATGTAGGCGTGGGCTTACCAAAACCCCTTTACAAAACCTGGTGTAGACTCCTGATAACGGGGATACCAAAGCCGCCGAGGCCAGAGGCCCAGGCGTCTTGGGTCTTACCTCTCCACCTAATCCTCCTCCCCCGTTTTTTGCGTTCGTTTGCCACCCCCTTGCCCGGCTTCGCCTCAGTTTACCTGATTTGTCGGCCTCCCCCCCCTCCAGGCCCCCCCCCCCCTCCCCCCCCTCCCCCTGTGCCGATACACCCACAAGGAAATGCTCCTTGTTAGGAGGTGTATGACCAGTTTATTCCCTAAGGATCAAAGGGCAGCGCCCTCCACACGGACAGTAGTTGTTTTGTCTTGCTACGCAAGGAGAGCTTGTCTTGTCTCAATATGGTAAAACCACTGTGAGCCAATGGGCAGCGGAATGTATATGTATGAGCATGCAGCCATTGCTGTAGGTAACTGTTAGAGCTACCCCTTTAGAGGTTTATGGTTTCAAACAGACACTAATTTTCTTTTACCGGAAGCATGGCCGCACATTCACACATATACTATTATGCCCACGGTCACAGTTGCGGAGTTTGGACTCATGATAAAAACAGCATATTGTTTATGCTAGGTATAGCACTGAAGTACACTGTTGAGGTCACTCTTTTTGCACACACTCATGCATGTTGGTCAGAGAGATCATCTGTACAAGATCAGGTCTGGTAATGTTCTTCTACCGAATTATGCAGCCCTTCATTGTGCTCTTGTTAGAGCTTTGTGAGTCACTGTTGTGAAACTCTGAGAATTTTCTTATCTCAGATTCGGATCCAGGTTTGGATCATAGGCTCGAGCATAGACGTTCGGATGTGGTTCATCCGGGTCTGAGTGATCTTCTTCGGAACTTGAAAAGATTCCGAGTAATCTGTTCTCAGCCCTGGTGAAGGCGGCGTCTGCAGTGTCATATCCATGGTTGGATGTAGTCGCCTTTGGCTCGGCCTTTGGTGCAGCTTGTGAGCTGATTGGAGTTGCCTCGGCTTTAGCCGGTTGTGGCTGCTTAGCCTTTGCCCGTTCGGCCCTTCTTCTTTCAAGCTGTCCGTCTGAGGACGCCCATGATCTTTCACTTTCATCTCCTGAGGGAGATAAGGCGTGGGCATGAAGGCTGTTCCAGTACTGTGCTGCAGAAGGAGTTAGGACTTCTTCATGGTCAGATTCTGACTGGTCTTCCTCAGAGCTTTGGTCGTCAAAAAGTGTCTCAAGGACATTTTTGAGGTTTTTATGTCTTCGCTCTATCTCTAGTGAGGAATGGACCAATTGATTGAAGACTGTTTTTGAGTCCTTCAGTGCTGTTAGAAGGATTTCCACTCTGGATAGAGTATCTTGGATGGTGTCAAGATGATCCTTTCTTTCCTCCTTGTCTCTCTGGATAGAGTTTCGCAATGATTGTGCGATTCTGAGGAGGTCGAGATATTTCTCAATAGGCATAGTTGCCGTATGATTGTCATGTATGACAGTTGTTTCGTCGCTGCTCAAGTTCCTGAATAGGACTTCCACGACTGGTAGAAACTCCGTGCTCCACGGTTCCTCTTCATCATATGTTTCTACATGCTGTTGCACGCGTTGTGTAAACTGCTCGGCTGCTTCTACCGTTGCATCGATAGAGCTGACGTGTCTTACTGCCATGTTTCGGCACATAGTGTTAATGGCCTGGCCTTGATTGGCTTCGCCAAGTGCAGCGTCTGCATGGTTGCAGAGTCCACTGTTATGGGCTTCTCTAGCTGCTTTTCGTTGAATGCGCCGATTTTGACCTCCTCTTCTGGTAGGACCTTTTGGTCTCGGAGGATCTGAAGGTACTGTTCCTTTCGCCTTTGGCGGAGGAGACTTAGGTGGAGGTGACATGTTTGCCTTGTTAGGCACTGGTGGCATTGCCTTGGGCACTGACGACGATGAGGCACTTGCGAGTGCAGATGTACCTCTGGCTCTTGCCGAGGATCCCTTAGGGATTGATGTATAGGTAATCTGCATGGCTTCTTCGGCCATTTGTGAATGCAATGCATCACTGAATAATTGCCTCATATGAGGAGTAGTACTTGCATCGTCATAGGTTTGAAACCGTTCAATGTCCCTTTCGGTGCCACGTGATCGTGTATCACCTCTTTGAAAAGGATCGTTCCTGCGAATCTCCGCAACTTGTACTGCCTGGAGGCAGGTTTTACACAGCACCTTCCTTGAAACATCTTTTGCTTGCTTGAGCTGGTAACAGCTGTCTGAAAGATGGTAGACTTCGCTTCGGGAAGTGTGCCACACAGGTCGCAAATCCGTTGTTTCTCCAGAATTGACCCTGTTGGGTCCTAAAGGTTCACGCGTCTGTGGTTCATTCTCGGGTTCGAGAAATGGTGGTGGTCGTTTCGCTGCTGCTTTTGCATTTGATTGTTGGCGGTCCATACATCTGATGGGAGCCCTGGTGAACTGCTTCCACATCCAGTGTAGGCCCATTAGCAGCAGAAACACATTCCACGCGATGCTGAAGACGGAGAAGTCTTGCTCACTGGTTAGTGAGTTGGGAAGTGAAGGTTCATCAGTCTTGATAGACTCTGCGTTCGCTCCACCGTGGTTACGGTGTCCGAACCAGCCCGACAACCCCGCTGCTGTGGCAGCTGTTCTGAGTGCCTTGCCGCTCGGAGCAGACGGTGGGCGTGATGCCTTCCTTCTTCTCCTCCGGCTGGAGGATTCGTCCTCTTGTTCCTCTTCATCTCTCTGAGCAGACATCAAGTTTGATGTTTCTCTTTCGTGTTCTTCGATGTCACTTTTTGTTGGTGACGGTTCTTCTTCTAGTCCATCCAGCTCTTCCAAAGACATGTTGAGCTTGTCAACAATATTGGTTCTTTGAGGTCTGGACCTTGATCTTGGTAGATCTTGTTGTGAAGAGGACGATGATGCCTGGCTCCTTCTTGGAGGAGAGCCTTCAGGCTCGCTGGGACGTTCAGGCCGTGGCCTTTCCCAGAATCTTCCATATCTGTGATAGCTACCTTGTGGTTGCTGTTTGTCGTACCAGCTGTTGCCGGATGAATACACAAATGAGTCTTTGTAATCCCAGTATTCAGCATTACGCTGCTTGTAAGCCTGTCGCTTGTTAGCGATCTTCTGAACCTGGGCATCTGACCGGTTGTGTTTCCCTTTTGTAAGGATTGGTTGTATCGTGAAGCCCAAAGGGCTGTGCCAATCTTTGTCAGAGGGACTCAACCAGAGGTCAAGGTTAGAAAAAGTTGAATAGTACTGCTTGACTGAGACAAACAGACGGATATCGATATCCCTGTTTCTGTTCATGTCCTGCCACATATCTGAGACTCGTTCCCAGTATGTTCTTTCGGCGGCAGGTGTAGCATCTCTTGGACTAGGTGACGCCGTGTGCGGCGTTTTACTCCAGTCAAGGATATAACTGTTGATACAGTCGAGGTCAGCAACTTTCTTCGCCGGGTCCGGCGGTAGACGATCTGCACGTGCCAGTCTGTGCTGGTCAGAGTTGTTCAAGCAGAGGTGTCGCACTTGTGAGTGCCTTCCTGCTATTCTGTTGAATGCTGCAAGTTTCTTCTCCAGGTATAGAGAAAACAAACCGTTTCGCGGGTGAACGTCTCCACCTTTTAAGGTGAGCCTCGACGCAATATTATTGAGATCCCCCGCAATTACATCCGGTTTAAAAGGGAGAACCTCGTTGAGGAACGCGTTCACCAGTTCGCGCCTCTGTTCTTCCTTATGAGTCATGTATGAGTTGAAATGGACGATCGCGATGGTGATGACCTTGTAAGGCCCTTTTGTACACCACATCTCGTCAAGATCGTTTGATGCTTCTTGTGAGAAGATCTCTGCGTATGACTCAAAGTCTTCCTCTGGTGGCTCATCACCCTCGACATGGCCGTTCCATTCACAGAGAACCGGCGCAGGGTCGAGGTCCGACATTGTCAGACACGCCTCTGGTGAGAGGTAAGAGCCATCAGTGGGTCCATCCTTGTCAGGATTTTTACCCTTGAGAGGGTCATATCCGATAATCTTCATGTACTCATCTCTCGTCATCCTCTGGCCGGAATATGGGTGGACCCATTCTTTTGCCTCCTTGATGGTACTGTGGTACCCAAAGGTGAGGCGGCATACCGCACCGTGGCATGCCCACAGTCGCTTCTTGGGACCACCAGCCTTAGGCTTCATTGTTCGGTGACGGTAAAAGTGGTGGACGAGAGAGATGTCTGTTGTTGGGTCACCCTTGACTCCAATATACATTGAGGGTGCCTCAGGCTCCTTGGGAGGAGAATGGATTAGCATCCCTCTGTATTCATGTTGTCGCATGGTTGCGATCGAATACTTTGACGCAAGTGCTCCTGCCTCGAGTACGAGGGTAATATGTGCTGAATTGTTGAAGCACATGTCAATAAGAGGGTGGTAATCGAATCCCTTCTCAGGTTTGAGTTTCTTTTTGGGATTCCCTGCTGGCACCGGCGCTCGATCCATATTTCCCCAGTTGCATACCACTAGGCTTAGTGATACGCTGTCTGGGTTTGAGCCCTCTATGTATTCTCTCTTTTCGTTAACACCGGCCATCCTATTACGAACTATCTCGTAATGTGCGTCGAGCACCAGTTTGTCTTCGTAGCCAGTAAGAGAGAGAAAAGAAGCCGGGTGGCTTGTTCTGGAGTCCTTGATATTGATGTGACTCTTGTTAATGCTCTTGTATTCCTCCAGGGTTGGAGCTTCTGTTGAGCTGGTGTAAGAGTTAGGAGGATTATTCCTAATATCATCAAAGCTACATGGATCAACGCCTGGATGGTCTCTCATGAACAAATTCCTTGCGTGGTCACAGTACATGTTGATTTTCTGGACTGCCAAATCTACGTCCTCAGGTGTGAGGATGGCCTCGTATAAAAACTGACGCTCTTCTGATGTCATT